ACAAGTGGCCAATGAATACATGAAAAGACCCTCAACCTTACTATCATTAGGAAAATGTAAGTCAAAATCACAGTAAGATACTACTTCCCATCCATTTACATGGCTGTGATTAAAAACAAAACGACAGAGAAAACCAGGTGTTGGTGAGTATGTGGAAAAATTGGAACACTTGTGCATGGATGGTGGGGATGGAAAATGCGGCAGCCATGATCAAAACTAGTATGGAAGGTCCTTAAAAAATTAACATTGGATCAAATAACTTCACATCTAGGTATATCTATGAGCAGAACTGAAAGCAGAGATTCAAACAAATATTTGTACACCTATTCACAGCATCATTATTCTCAGTAACCAAAAGGTGGAAGGAACTCAAACGTCCATTTATTTACAGAGAGTGGATAAACCTAATGTGGTCTCTGCCTACCACAGAATCTTATTCAGTCTTAAAGAAGAAGCGGATTCTGACACCGGCTACAATGTCATGCTGTTAAAATAACCAGTCACTAGCGGGCTACAGTCCACGGGGTCGCAAAGAGTCAGACACGACTTAGTGACTAAGCCAGTACCAAAGAACCGACACGGGATCATTCTGCTCATACGGGGTCCCTAGAGCAGGCAAACGCAGAGAGACAGGAAGGGGATGGTGGTTTCCAGAAGCCAGGAGGAGGCGGAGGTGAGTGCCTAACGGGGGACAGAGTTTAAATCTGGGGAGATGAACAGGTTCTGGAGATGGGTGGTGAGGGTGGTGCTCAGCTCCGTAGATGTCCATGCTGCTGAACTGAACACTTAGAGATGGCTCAGGTGGTCAATTTTACATTCTGTGTATTTCACCACAATTTTAAAAAACCCTTAAGGAAGAACATTGGCCATAACTGGGCGGTTCCAAGGACCTGACTCTCTTGGGTCACGGCAACACTGAGGGAGGCTGATCAACAGGAACTGAAGCGACCTGTGATGACCCCGGGCAGAGCACACAGGCCCTGACTAAAGACATGTCTGATTTCCTTACAGACAGAGTCCCTGAGTAGACTAGCAGTGGGAAGAGAGACCTAATTTTAAAGCAACTCTGTACAAAGGGACTTCTAGGTGACACTGATGGAAAGAGTCCACCCACAGACACAGGAGACCCAGAGGACAGGCTTTGATCCCAGGGCCGGGAAGATCCCCTGACGGAGGGCATGGCAACCCACCCCAGTACCCTTGCCTGGAGGATTCCATGGACAGAGGAGCCTGCCAGGTCATAGTCCATGGGGCCACACAGAGTTAGACATGACTGAAGAAACTCGGCAGGCACGCTGTTCAAAGAAGCCCCGTTGCCACTGACAATGGGCGAACAGGCCTGTCAATCTGGCTGTGAGGTTATTTTCTAGGTAATGTTGTAATTGGATAAAAAACCATTTGAGTCTCTGTTCAGTAATAGTGACAAATTCTGACTCTCTACTGAGTTGATGAAGGTTGAGGGACGTTCTACCCTTGATCAGATACAGAATCCACCATCACAAACCTGTCTTTGTGCTTTTCCAAGTATATGCTAAGGTAACACACACACGTCTGCACATGGAACCTGGCGTAGGACGTGGATCCTTACCTTTACGTGGCCCTTGGATCGCCATGCGTCTGTGGACCACCTGGACGCTTTCCCGACGGGATGTTGTGGATAATTCCAGAGACACAGACTCTTGACTGGACTCTCGATAACTACATTTTTTCCTCCTCCACGAGGTGCAGTTGGTCTAGAGAAGAAGCAGAGGGCAGAGGAGTGAAGTCGATTTCCATAGTGCAGGAAGGGTCCTACTTGGGGGTCTCATCACCAGGGAGGTTCACTTTGAGAAGGAGACGTGATGACAACCAGCTGATGTGCAGACACACAGCAGATGCTCCAGGGGACCCAGGGACAGTGTCACAGTGGGTTCACTCTCCATAAATGATGCCTCATAGGAAAATCTCTTTAGAAAACTAAATTACTGTTTGTGATGTGAAGATTACACAAAAATGCAACCATGCTCTCCTGAAACCAAGTGTAAGAGCTATTTTTGATTGGGTCTGAACATCATGAAGGCAGTATGAAATATTTAGAAGCGAGTCAGGAATGCAGAGTAATGTATCTGTGTGTCAACACGGAGCTTCTGCTGTCATAGGTTGTCAGATGTGGTTTTTTTTTTAAATCTTCTTCATTCAAAAGACAGTAAATAAGCTATAGTCCTTCCCACAGAAAAGGCTTTACAAGGACATGCTATTTGCTAATGAAAAAGGAAAGCAAAGTACAATCTCTTAAGTATTCATTTAAAATTTTTATTTGTTGCAACTATAAGGCAAGAACCAAACGTAGGGTTTAAAATGGCCTTTGTGAGTAATCTTCTACGATGAATATTTGCATAGTGGGCACAGTTATTTTGAAGATGTTCTGAGATGTTACTAAATTGGTTACCAGTGGTTTGAATGGGATTTGAGGCAGTGGCTTTTATGAAAATACATCTTAATTCTCATCATATGAAGAACATCAAAGTAGACAAATTTAAGTAAATCTTATAAATCAGCCAACACAAAGCAAAACAATTACGTGATTGAAAAATAAGTGAAAAGGATGGTATATTAATGATCAAAGCCATTTCACCTGATACATTGCCAACACTTTGCTCAAAAATCACATTTCAGTGAATAATTTACACATTTCACTTTCCTGGTAATCCCAGGAAGTCACCTCTATGGCTCTAAGCATTTCCTAAAGGGCTGAGGCAGCATCACATGGTTCCCCTTCTTTTCAGGGAATCTGCGGTTCCTAGCCTGCAAGGACGAAGTTTACCCTGAGGGGCAGTCAGGAAAACGATAGGCTTTCCATGAGTGCGTATGAGATCCTAATCTGTGGACAACGTCTCATTTGGTGTATGCTCTGTTTTCCACTCCCACATTCACAAATAAATCAGCGAGTTGAAAAAAATATTCTTCCCATGTAGACACCAGCCTGCTTTGAGCCTTTCTCAGACCCACTCCTCCAAATAGCACCAAGTCTGTTCTTCCATCCTTGTGACAGACTTCCCTGACTCCCTCAAGCTCACGGGGAGCTGGGGTTCCCCACCAACATGAGACACCCTGTCCCCTTTTGGAAGACAGACAGAAGTTAGGGTGGCTGTCAGCAGGAGACACCGCGTCTCCCCTAGAGGGGTCTTCACCCCCTAGTCTTTATGGATGTAGATTAAAAACTCATTGACAGATGGATTACAGGCTAAATGTCCTTGAAGTATATTTGATGCTTCTGACTAAATGCATATCTATTTTGATTTAAGATGATTGAGATGTAAAATAGAAATTTCTTCTTTAAGGCAGAAGTTAAAAAAACAGAAAGAAGGTTCCTGAGCCAGTTCTTGAAACAAAATGCGTCTCATTGTGTAAGAAACGACGGAGCATCTATACGACGGAGCCCCTCAGTCACATGCGCTCCTAAGACACCCCCTTCCGGGTACTCAGGTGCGGGCGGAGGACGGTGCCCCGTGGTCCCGCCTGCTTCCGTCCCTGCCGCCTCTGCTGCTTGCGGTGATTCGAGCTGGACTTCCCAGGATGGGCTCCTGAACTGGTCGGTGAGCAGCTTAGTTGCCAAACACAAATGGCACCAGCAACATTAGCAGTTGGGGCGCCTTTGGACGCCCAGTCACACTCCGGCTCCGCTCCTCTCCTCCACCATCATGCAGACGAGGCTCTTGGGCTTTCGTTATGGCATTTGTCATTGTATGAAATAACCCCACTCGTTTCACTTTGTTTTAAACTGCCTGCCTTGAGATAATCCACGTGCAGCTGAAAGAAGTGACGCAGAGAGCTGAACTACCGATCGCACCCGTGCCCAGCATGCCGCGGGTTGACCTGTCCTGGGCAGCTAGGGCGGCGGGTGGTGGTGAGGAAGGGGGCATGTGGGGGGGGTCACCCGTGCAGGGCTTCAGTCTGAGCCATGGGACTCCCCTCCCAGGAACTCAAATCATCGTCTCACCTCGAAACAGAACATAGTAAAGAAGTGATCTGAAGTAGGAACTCAGTTTTAACCACTGTGTTATAAATGGCTGCATTATCAAATTCATTTTAACTTTACCTTTATTAATGTTCATGACCTAAGACAGATTTTGACTTTCTCCATTTAAGAGGACTAAGTATTGTTTAGTTTTCAGAAGAGTCATGTAGTGAATAAAGAGCATTATTTGTCCCCAATTCAAGGATGATTGATAACTTCGTTTTTGGTTTTTAGACTGATTATATATTAAGAGATAGGTTGAAATTAAGTAATTCATCTTGTCATGAAAAATAGACACACATGCCCCTTTCTTTCAAATGTTTGCATTTTGGACTGAAGAAAACCAAATTTCTGTTTCTTCCTTCTCTTCCTCCCTCCTTTCTTTTGTTATTTTTTAAAATGTGTTTCCTGATGATGAGGTAGAAGAGGGTATTCCAGGCTGGAATCCAGACGCACTTCTCCGTATATAACAAATCATAAACAGGGTCACCTTTAGTCTCATTATGTGTATAAAGTGGTTAAAAAGCTACCTTGATATAATTTCACTCTAATTTTTTCTTCTAACCTTTTCAAAAGACCATCAGAGAAATTATGACCAGCAGTCTGAGGAATCTGACCCTGTGAATGTACCGTGAAGACTGGGGTGGGCCATTTTGAGGCAAATTTGCTCCTTGCTAATTTGTAAATTAGTGCTCCTTCTGCCTCGTGCTTTTGCTAATGGCTCATGGTGACTCCCTGCTCATGTGCATTACAGAAACACCAGCAGTGCTACCAGGCCCGCGAGCCACGTGTCTGAGAGGTGCTCCTGAGCTTCTGGGGACCTCCGGGGACCGCCAGAACCCTCAGCAACTCAGGGCCCATTTGGAGCCCTGAAGAACAGTTCTGCTGGGAACCAGGAATGTCTTTACTTGACTAGTGTTAAATATAGATGTTGGAACAGCTGTGTTCAGTGCCTTTGTTAATAGGGACCCCTAAGAGAGCCTTGAAAGCCCTCGGGAATTCGTCAGCTATTGTGGGATTGTGCCGTTATCAGGAGGTGAGTGATTGTCGGTCTCCAATGGGGCGGGGGGTGTGGAGGGGTGCTGGGAGGAGGGGGGAGGACGGTGGCGGGGAGGAGGCTGGCTGCACTCTCCTCCTGGGGGACAGGCTGCAGCCTCTTCCCGGTCCCCGCCTCGTCCAGCTCAGCTGAGACCCGGGTTCTGTGGAGTGCTCCCCTGGTCCCGCCCTCGTTCAGCTCAGCCGAGACCCGGGTTCCGTGGAGCGCTCCCCTGGTCCCCGCCTCGTCCAGCTCAGCCGAGACCCGGGTTCCGTGGAGCGCTCCCCTGGTCCCTGCCTCGTCCAGCTCAGCTGAGACCTGGGTTCCGTGGAGCGCTCCCCTGGTCCCAGGACCCGAGAGCATTCAGCCTCCACTCGGACCACCTGTGGGCCGTGGGCTGCAATGGCCAGCGTCACCATGGCCAGCAAGCAGGAAGCACAGATTCACAAAAGGTAGCGGGGGGAGGGATAAGTCAGGAGCCTGGGATTATTAATAACATGTTCACACTACTGTACATAAATAGTCAACAACAGATGGCCAACAAGGACCTACTCTATGGGTCAGGGGCCTCTACTCAATACTTTGTAATGTCCTTATGGGAAAAGAATCTGAAAAAGAGTGGACGCATGTACATATAGACTGAATCACTTTTTCATACACCTGAAACTAACGCAACATTGTAAATCAACTATTATTGTTGTTCAGTCACTCAGTCATATCTGACTCTTTGGACCTCATGGACTGAAGCACGCTAGGCCTCCCTATCCATCACCAACTTCTGGAGCTTGCTCAAACTCATGTCCACTGAGTCGGTGATGCCATCCAACCATCTCATCTGCTGTCATCCCCTTCTCCTCCTCCCTTCAATCTTTCCTAGCATCAGGGTCTTTTCCAAAGAGTCAGTTCTTCACATCAGGTGACCAAAGTATTGGAGTTTCAGCTTCAGCATCAGTGAATAGTCAGGACTGATTCCCTTTAGGATGGCCTGGTTGGATCTTCTTGCAGGCCAAGGGACTCTCAAGACTCTCCTTTCCTCCAGTTCGCTTTTGTCTCTTTTCCATTCTGTCTGTTGGCTTTCTCTGGTTTCCTTTGTATTAGAGGATGTTCTCGGGCATCTGGGGGTCCTTGGTGGTTGCTGGCATTTACCTGGGCAGCATCGGCGTGTCTCCTGGATGCATGCCCTGCTCATGCTTACATGGGTGATGCGTCTGGATCTCCGGCTTCTGTGTCAGGTGTGTGATCCACGTGTGGTGAGTGAGAACTGGACTCTGTGTCCAGGCGCCGTGAACTTCGAGTCCAGCCCTCCTCTGCTTGCCTGTGCACTCTAGGTGAGCTGCTGAATTTGTTCTCTACATCAGTTCCCTCATTTGTAAAGGGGTCACCACAGAAGAGCTTATAAAGACTTTATAAAACTTTCAAAAAGTGTCACGTTACTGGCTTGAGTCTGTTACACAGTGAGAGCTATAGAAGGGTGTTTTGAACCAGTCAGCTGATAAACAAGCACCTCTCATCCGAGGAACCCGCTCGGGAACAGATTACGGGGATTGCGAGGGGCTGAACACTCAGCTCTGCCCTTCCTCTGGGTCCGGCTTTCTGTACAGCGTCCAGACTCAGCCCCCCAAGAGCCCTCTGCTCTGTTCCACCAGGGAGAAAACCTGGAGTTCTCTGCTGGAAGGAAAAGATCCCTGCGGTCTACATGGCTTTTAACCTTTCAACCTACTCACCGGTTAACAGTGCAGCTTTATCTCGCCTCCCGTGGGGCCTGGACCTGCCGGTCCTGGAGGTGTGAGCGTCCAGGGGAGGGTCTGAGCCCAGCCGCCCCCCTGCACCTCCCTCCTCACCCGGCCCTGCCCTCCAGCCTCAGACGGGCCGGCGTTGGCTCCCCTCTGTTCTGCGTCTTTTTTTAATACACGTGACTCTTCTGTCATTTTAGTGGGACTTGAGGCGATAGCAGAAGCCGACGTTCTTGAATCTGCCATCTTTAACTGAACACGCCAAGTCTAACACCTGTTCATCTCTTTACAGGAAAAGCTACGTTCTGAGAGAACCACAGAGACAACACAGAAGGTTTTCCATCCTTTCCTCCCGGAAAATAGTCACCTAGAAGCCCATCTTTATTCTGAGTTGACTCTAACTAGACTCCTGTACTGAGTACAAGCGTTTATGCCTGTTCAGTTCAGTTCAGTCGCTCAGTCGTGTCCGACTCTTTGCGACCCCATGGACCACAGCACGCCAGGCCTCCCTGTCCATCAGCAACTCCCAGAGTTTACCCAAACTCATGTCCATCGAGTCGGTGACACCATCCAACCATCTCATCCTCTGTCGTCCCCTTCTCCTCCTGCCCTCAATCCCTCCCAGCATCAGGGTCTTTTCCAATGAGTCAGCTCTTCGCATCAGGTGGTCAAAGTATTGAAGTTTCAGCTTCAACATCAGTCCTTCCAATGAACACCCAGGACTGATCTCCTTTAGGATGGACTGGCTGGATCTCCTTGCAGTGCAAGGGACTCTCAAGAGTCTTCTCCAACACCACAGTTCAAAAGCATCAATTTTTCGGTGCTCAGCTTTCTTCACAGTCCAACTCTCACATCCATACATGACCACTGGAAAAACCATAGCCTTGACTAGACGGACCTTTGTTGACAAAGTAATGTCTCTGCTTTTGAGACCAATGAGTAAAATTTTCTCATTTTGTCTCAATTATCTGTTTCCCAGGTGATTAGCCCACAGTGATTTCCACTTGATTGTGTCTCTTTTTCATCACACACCAGCTTTTTCCAGTCCCCTCTCTCTTCCCTTCTAATGTCCTCTTTCCACACCTTCCGGGCCCACGTTTGCCAGGTTTCCACATCCGTTCTGCCTTTTGGTGTCAAGGCCTTTCTCTCCACAAGCCTCCCCGTCGGGAGTGACGGGAGGCTCCCTCTGATGGGATCATGGTTCACTTACACTTGTGTCTCTAGAACGTGGGCAAAAACCAGGCGCTGCACATCGAACAGCTGGTGCATGAGCGTGAGCCCCGCGGCCTCCCATGGCCCCCAGGCTCCTGGGTCCCCCATTCTTTTCCGGGGTCTCCATGGCAGCGCCCAGCACGCTCTGTCTTTACCTGCTGCAGTGCGGTCGCTTGTCGGGTTCCTGAGCCCAGACTCAGAGCCGCAGTTCTGCGTTCCCTCCATCACGTCCCCAAGAAAGACACCGGGAGGTCTTTTTTCTTTTTCCCTATTTCCACAATAATCACCTGAGCCAAGAATCTAGATGGAGCAACTGTCCCGAGGATGCTGGAACGTGTCCCTCCATTGCACTCCTCCCCCTAAGGATGCTGGCCGTGTCCTCCCCACTGCTGCCCTGACTGCCCCACCTTAGAGGGGGTTCAGAAGTAACTCCAGGTGTCCCCACGTCCTCCGCGTCGGGGTTCAGGTAAAGCACCAGCTTCCCGACGACTCACAGCCTCAGCTTTGCTGACAGACTTTCTGGTTTCACGCGGGCTTGCTGCCCTTGCGTCCAGCTGCCCTCTGGAGCACCGCCCCGCCCCTCCCGGGAGCACAGATGGAGCTGCACATCCCGCGAGAAGTGCTGGAGCCCTCCCAGGTCTGCATCTCGGGGAGCCCATGGGGGGCTGGGGTCGGACAGAGTCAGGATAAGAAGCATGGCATGCTCTCAGCGCCACGACCCGAACACAAGGGGACCCTGGACACAGCGGGACTGGGGACACATCGCAACCCCGGACACAGTGGGACCGGGGACACACCGGGACTGCGGACACACAGTGATTCCGGATACACCGCAACCCCAGACACACCGTGACCTCAGACACACTGCGACCTCAGACACACCGTGACCTCGGACACACCGGGACCCTGGACACATCGTGACTCCAGACACACCATGACCTCGGACACACCGGGACCCTGGACACATCAAAACCCCGGACACACCGGGACCCCAGACACACCGCGACTCCAGACACACCGCGCTCTCAGACACACTGGGACCCTGGACACACCGGGACCTCAGAGACAGTGGGACTATGGACATACCAGGTCCCTGGACACAGTGGAACCCTGGACACAGCGGGACCCCGGACATACTGGGACCCCGGACAGGCGACCGTGCCCCCCAGGGTCCAGTTTCCTGGCCACCTGGGGCTCTGGTGATGGTTAGGGGGAGCCCATGGCGTGATCACAGCAGGGGGGCATCTGCCTCAGGTGGGATTGATGACCCAAGTACATGGATTCTGAACAGGAAGTTGGGACAGAGGAATGGTGCAGGCTTGTGGAATAACTTTAATGACTTTTCCCCAAAATGTGAATTGAGGTGCGTGGGGAAGAGAGCAGGTTTTAATTTCAGCAGCGGTCCTGGGAAACAGCGTCTGTCTCACAGGTGACTCGTGTTCACCACCCAGGGCACGGTTTCCTCCATGGGGAAGGGAGGGTTTTGGGCAAAGACCAACGTGTTTCCAGTTTAGGAGGGAAACTGAGGGGAGCGGGGTGGGTGGAGCTCTGTGGGTCGGTCCAATCAGGGCCGAGCTGGAATGTGCCCAGTTCCTCCACCCAGACCTGGCCGAGTCCCTCTGCTTCCTCCGCTGGGCTTGATGCCCCTGCACACAGGGCTCATCCCTCTGGAGAAGCGGGGGGCGGGGGTCTGCAGGGGGCGGGTCTGCGCATCCTCCTGGGGTGAAGGGAAAGCAAAGGTGTGAACGGGCAGAGGGGCGCCGCTGGCCGCCAGGGCAGACCCTTCACCCCCGCCCTCTCCCGGACCCTTCACGCTTAGAGACGGAGCACACCGCCAGCTTTTTGCCCAGGTTTGGTGATTTGCAAACTGGTCTCAGTCACTCCCCCCACCAGTTGCATTAGTTTATGTTTTAGAACTCAAGTCCCTCAGATGTATTTGTTACTGTAGTAATAATGTGCCCCCCATCAACTCCAACTGAGGTTTATTTCATTTTGGGGCAAACCTTCCACATATGTATTTATTGCATAATCATAGCTACAGTTGTTGCCAATTTCTGCTTAAAGATTTGTAGCTGGGACCACCTATGTGCAAACTCAGCTTTAACTTTTTAAGGTAAAACACACAAGTGCTTTAATAATAAGAATATTACTATTATAAAAAGCACAATGGGGATGCTGAAGAGATAATTGATGTCACACCCGTGGGGTGATTAAATATGTCTAGGTGGACCCGAACATATCAGGAGGTTGACTTTTCAACACTTTTCCAACCCGATAATCTCTGAAATCTTGAATAATAGATGTAACCTCAGTTTTTGATAACCTTAAAGCTTTTGAGGTGAAACTATTGCCAAGGCAATGGAACACTGAAAATGTCTGAGAGGGTCCCGGGGAACAAGACACAGCTGCTTCTTTATAGAAAATAGGTGCATTTTAGAGAATCTTCTTGAAAAGTAAACTTTTTCAGTTGAGTAATTTTCCCCATTTTCTTTCACTATAAAATGTCGGATAGTTTTAGATTGAAATATTTGACTTTTGGCTATAATAATCAAAATTATAAAATTGATAGAGTTCTAAAAACTCATCAAATTATAGAAAGCTACAAGATTCAAATAAAAGCTTAACAAGAACCACTTATAATCCTAAAATTCAGAGTTACACGTGTACAAAACCACAAATATATTCAAAGTTAAAATGTAGAGCCTAAATGTAAACCTTAACACTGGTTATCACTCCCACCTTGTTGAGTATTTTTAGGTAAACATTTTAAATTTATTTTTGTGTATAAATTTTTTAAATTAAAAAAATTCATACACTCTTTAAAGATTGGTGTCCAATTACAGTTATAAACCATTGGCTGTACCTCTCAAGCTGTCCATCTCCGAGCGGGGTTCGCGCAGGGGTTTGACCTCCCCATCCCCACCTGTAAGCCCCGCCCCCCTCCCCCCATCGGTCACCGCCGGTTTGTTCTCTGTCTCTGTGCTAAGCCCCTTCAGTCGTGTCCGACTCTTTGTGACCCCGTGGGCTGTAGCCCGCCAGGCTCCTCTGTCCATGGGGTTCTCCAGGCAAGAATACTGGGCTGGGTTGCCACGCCCTCCTCCAGGAGATCTTCCCGACCCAGGGATCCGACCACACCTCTCGTGTTTGCTGCACTGGGAGGTGGATCCTTCACCACTAGTGCCACGGGGAAGCCCAGGATCTGTGAGTCTGCTGCTTTCTGCTGTGTTCACTACTTTGCTGTATTTCTAGATCCCACGTTCAGGTGAGGTCACACAGTATCCGTCTGTCTGACGTCTCACGTCCCCTTGGCCTGCATCGGTCCTTCAATGAGGGAGCCCTTCCTAAAGCAGCTGCCAACGGATGGGGTTTGACTGCCTGCCTGAGACTGTCTTCACATTTTAATCTTCATCCAGGTGGCCTGGGTTTTAACCACCTTCCACCAGCTTGAATTTACCAACATGTGACCTTGTGAGTCTCTCTGCACTTGTCCATAAAGGAAGAGAAAGGTCCCCCTTGGCTTAGCAGTGGGCAGCTTGTCTCCCCTGTCATTCTGGAGAAGCCTGTCTGCTGCGTTCTGTGCCAACCTCTCCCTGTGTTTATTTACCTAATTGGATCAGCTGACACTGCTTCCTAATGAACTTATAAAAATGCTGCTTCTTCTAGACCTTAATAATTTGCTGAGGTTTGTTAACTTTTATCTTTTACGCACACACAATCTAGAGCCCTAGTTGGAAGTTACAACAGAAAGAAGATATTAGGAACCGAAGAACAGCAAGAGAACTCATCTTCTTGTGTTCTGGGGGAACGCGGTATTCTTGGCAAACTCTTTGTTTTCCTGCCTTCTTGCCTCGTGTCATTTTCCAGGCCAGCTCTCTCCTATAAATTCATCTACTTTCCCTTAAATTCACCAGGTTAAATTCTATGCATTCAGTTAGGCCCAGCTCAATTGTCACTTTCTCCCAAAAACCTCCTTTCAACTCCACAAAATAGTTTTTAAAGTCTATAGTTTTTAAAGAACCAAAACACCTTTAAAGTTTTTCATGTAACAGCAAAATTATACCTTGTACTGGGGTTAGAGCCCCATCCTATTCATCTCACTAAGCTGGGTTTTCGCGGTCAGATGGGTGTTAGTATAGAGTCACAGTGATGATGAAGACAGCAGAGAACTCAGAGGGCTGCTCTGTCCCACCTACGCTCTCAGCGGTTCATAAATATTGACTCACAGGAGCCTCATGAGCCCTGGGCGGGACGGGGGATCCCGTCTACAGACGGACCCCGGGGAAGACTCTGCCGTAAACATAAATGGTGCTGTCAATACGGTGCTCACCATGAAGTTAAATAACGCCTGGCTCTCGTTTTTACCCAAGTGCTGGACCGGAAAGGCCACTGAGTCTAAAGCAAGACCAGTTCCAGGAGGCGCTCCAGGGACGGCACCCAGAAATGACGATGGCTGGGCGGGGGCGTCCAGAAGGGGCCTGCGTGGGTGGTCCCGTCTGCGGGGAGAGCGGCCCCCTGTGTGGGAGGACAGGGGGAGAAGGAACCGCCGGCCAGCTCCCGCTTTCACTGCCTCGTGCTCGGAACCAGGGCGTGGTGCCGCGGCTGCACACGCTCTGTGTCATTTACAGGAACCTCATTCAGGGCAGCGTTCAGGTCAGTGTGCGAGGACATGAAGCAGCCCGTGCGTTTAGCAAAAGCAGTGCAGCCCCTCTGCAGGGAAGCAGGACGCTTTCCTGAGACGCGTGAAAGGGGGTCTGAGTCAGCAGAGGGAGAGACCACTGTGATGAGGTCGGCGTGAGGGCTCAGACTCACACTTGCAACCAAAATACCAAACGGGTGGTTCAGGAAGCTTGCTATTCTTCTACGGAACAGCCTTGGGCCAGGGATGTCTTGTGAAGAGGGGCGGGCTGCTAACCAGACATCAGATCTGAAGCTGTGGCAGTCAAGCCCAGGGGATAATGCTGTGTGTTGGCAAATCAATCTATGAAACAGGGTAGAGTTGGTGAACAGGTCAGTACCTGTCACATGGGAGGACTTCGGGATGGAGAAGCCTTGTCAAAAGAGGAAAAAGAGACGCTCTCCAACAAAAGGAATGAAAAAAATGACCATCTGATGGCAAAAAATAGAGTTGGATTCTTACATCGTCTACAAAGTAAACTCAAAGTGGATTGAGGAGTTAAATATTCAAAACAAAACCTCGAAACTCATCTTAAAAACATAGATTAATATATTCTTAGATCTTGGAAAAGTAAGAAAAAAGTAAGACAACAAAACCACTGACAATAAAAGAAAAGATGGATGAATTTGACAGTATTAAATTAAAAACTTCTTATAAAAGACACCTTAAAGAAAGTGGAAAGTCAAATTACAAACTCAGGGAAGACATATTCTTGATTTGCATAAAGAATATATAAAGACCTAGAAATAAGTAAGAAAAGCATACTCAGTACAATGAGAGATTGGGCAGAAAGCATTAATAAGAATTTTGACAAAGAGGAAACACATCCATGTATGGAGAGATTGTTAACAATTATTTATCAAAGATATGCAAAAATGAGATCCTATTCTCCCAGCTTTTGACAGAAAGTCTTGGAAAGTCTGATGATGTCAAGTGTCAGGGAGATGAAGGCCAGTGTCTTCTTAGAGGCTTAATTTCCTATCAAGAGATTAGCGTCAGAGAATGCTTGCACTTGAAAGGATCTGAGAAGCACTGGGTCCAGTGACCTCACCTGTGAGCCCTGATGTCCCCTTGGTGTGGAGGGATGAGGGGGCTCCCATGAGGGTGCCTAAGGCTGACCAAAGGAGCCCACTCCAGCCTCACAGCAAGAGCTTCCTGTGTCATCAAAAGGAAGGAGAGTCCTGTGGCCAGAACGTTCGAAAGCTCATGTACAAAAGCGCCCTCCCTGCACAGACGAGCAAACACAGACCCGAACAGAGCAGAGTCACGAGCAGGCAGAGCAGCCACGGGGACTGGCACTGCCTGGCTGAACTCCCGCCGCTGCCCAGGCCATCCACTGCCTGCTTCCTGGGAAGAGTCCACGGAGGGAGCAGACAACATCCCTGGGCATTTGCACATCCCCTGAGATTCTGAAGTCTGAGCTTTGTGTCCTTAACAAATATAAACGGAATGCACCACTTGCTCTACACATAAACAGGGTGCTGGTGGTTCAGTCGCCAAGTCCTGTCCGACTCTGCGACCCCATGGACTGTAGCCCGTCAGGCTCCTCGGTCCACAGGATTTCCCAGAGTGGGCTGCCATTTCCTTCTCCAGGGGATCGTCCCAACCCAGGGATTGAACCCAGGTCTCCTACACTGCAGGCAGGTTCTTCACCGACTGAGCGACCAGGGAAGCTCCACACATACCCGTATTTCTGAACAATTTACCTCACAGCGAATCTCTGAAAGATAATAGCATTTTCCTGTTGTACTGCAAGACCACAAAAGATAATCTCAGGATCAGATTATATTCTCATCTTCAAAATTAGTTAAAATTAGTTAAGAGGAACCCACGCTTCGAGGTCAAACCGGGATGCCAGCAAGTCAAGGACTTGAGAGAACGGCGATCTGGAGTGGACGAGACTGTCTCGGGGTTTGGCAAGCTGTCTGGCAAGGACAGACACTCCCTCGCGGAGCACAGGGACTCAGAGCTGCCGCGGGCTCCACCCTTCCTGACGCCGGGCGACTCAAGGGCAGGCGGCCGGGCCCTTTCCTCCCAGACACAGAGGCTCCTGGATTTGTGGAAGGACGATCCTCACGGAGCGTAGATGGCAGGAGGAGAGAGTGGAGAGGAGACAGCCATGGAACACTGGACAAAGAACTGCGTCCTTCGAGGAAACTGGCTAAGCCAGAGGACGCTTCTCTCAGATGAGGTTTAGGCGGTGATTCCACATCAGCTCTCTGGCCTCCATATTCTGTAAAAGTTAATATGGTCCCTGCCCCCACCCCCACGTCTTCTACCTGCCTTCTGCCTGTGGGAAACTTTAGTCGAAGAATAAGCTTAATCAGAGAAAGGAGAAATGTGGAAACAAAGGAAAACAAAGCAGCCCAAATAATGATAATGTCGTCGTTAAGCATAGCCAAGGACTTTCAGTTCTTCCTCAAGGGCTGTAGGCGACATTCTGAGCCACATCCCGTGAGCTCTCAGACACGGAAACCCCAGGTAGAGAAGTGAAGTACTGGATGAGCAGGCTGCACCCAGGACTCGAGCTGCCACAATTCTGAGAACTGACGGCAAAGAAATGGGAACAAGTGCACCCGGACCTGAACATTGCCTGTACCTCAAAGAATGAATGAGATGCTAGTCAGGCCACTGATGACCAGTTTTGAAGATGACTGTTGGAGATGACGGTGCTGTTTCTGCATGTAACCTTCCCCAACTCTGTCTACAAAGGCTGTCATCCCCCGCTTGTCCGAGGGCCTGGGGTGCGGGATCGGCCTTTGGACAGACATCTGCCACCCTCCCCACCACCAGTTGCCAGCATCTGGAATAAAGCCAAGTTTCCTTTCCACCCGCCTGGCCTGTTTACTGGCTTTTGAGTGGCAAGCAGCTGGACCTACCACCTCTCCTGTTGGTAACAAAAGGGTGTTTAATAAAGTTGCTTATAAAGTCAGGGCTCTAAGTATTTTGCCTCCCAAACAAAATGCAGTTTGTAAAAATAGGGGGAAAAAAAACAACCTTCAATAAATAACCTTTTCAAAAAGTCACTGGGGGATAAGATCTCCAGGGCACCATGGAATGAATCGTCTTAAATGAACAGAGGAGATTCCCCCCCCTCCACACCCCAGCATGTTCTGAGGTGCTTCTGGGGCCCCTCCAGGCTTGTGGTCCGACAGGGACCAGGCATGTGTCAGCCGATGTGGTAAATCGAGTAAATGGTTTTTAGGAAACAGCTTTGACTTTGATGCTTGCCCTGAAAGCGTTTGTTTTGTTTTTTTCCTAGTTTCACTTTCATGGGGGAAGAAGATATTCCTACAGTGGTGCCAAACTGGCTCACCTCACATCTTAAGAGATTATGGTTGGTCTTTTGTGGTCCAACACTAAAATTACTTACTGTTTTAGAGATAAATACCTGTGTCCTTTTTGCCTTTTTGGATGAGTGTGTGAGACAGAAAGGAAGATGGAGACAGGCAGAGAGACGCAGAGAGACAGACATGGTCACAGGGACACAGAGGGGTGGAGACACGAACAGGGGAGGGACAGTCGCCCCCGCCGCAGCCAGGGAGGAGGACTCCCTCTGAACTGAAAACCCGTCTTGCCCGTGCCTGCTGCTCCTCTCCACCGTCTCTCAGAAGCAGGGAACGCTATCCGAGTAAGAGGCGCAGATTCCTCACTCTCCTCCTTCCCGTCCAAGGCACAGTCCGTCTCCTCAATTCCTCCGCAGCCTGTCCACCCGTCTGTCCATCCATGCCCACCACGTCTCCATCCACTTTGCGCGATTTGCCCGCCCTGCCCCTTGGCGGAGGGACTGCGCTGGGAGGGTGCGGCCGGATGGCACACGCCCCGGCAGGATGGCACACGCCCCGGCAGGATGGCACACGCCCCGGCCGCATCGCACACGCCCCGGCTGGATGGCACACGCCCCGGCCGCATCGCACACGCCCCGGCCGCATCGCACACGCCCCGGCCGGATGGCACACGCCCCGGCCAGATGGCACACGCCTCGGCTGGCTGCTCCGCAAGCTCGGAGCCCGACAGGGCGGGCTGCCCGCAGCATGAGAGGGCACGGACGTTGCCCTGGGGATCACGGGCCGGGTACGGAGCCAGGCTGCTCTTCGCGGGCTCTCCTTTTTGGGAGCTGAGGTAGGCTCAACTCACTTTGCCCTGGAGAGTAAGAGACAGATCTGTGAATCGTGCTTGTGCTGAACCCGTCTTCACGTCCGCTGTAACACTGTGCCGGGATGAACAAGCCCGAAAGTCCTCTTTCAAATCTCAGCTATTCGGATAGACAAGCAGCGGTTACAATAGTTCATTAGCTGGGAAGTAAGAAATCCTTAATAATCGATAACATTAATGTGGATTTTAAAGAAAAGACAAAAGCTAATGAATGGAATGAGCACTGGATATATTGGTTTCATCTGCATGATTATTTATTTGTCCTTGAAAAAGTCGTTTAACACCTATTTGAATATGTACATGCGGTAAATGTCTGTAAGTATATTTTATCTGCTTTCCCAATGAATTATTTTGAAGATCAACATGGGACAAAAGTGAGAAAAAACACTTTAGAAACTATGAAATGATACTAACACAATGTAGGAAGGATTAATACTAGGAGTGATGTTAATAATAATACCAGTGGGAAAAGCAGATATGGGCTTAAGTTTGAAAGGAGGGAAGAGTGGTGCTTCAGAGTGAAATGCACAGATAAATCCGATCCTCCGGTGGCCTTCCGATTTATGCTGCGGAAATAAAAATGTTAATATGTAGTAAAACCTCACAAATCCTGGCTAATTGGGGGAAAGCCAATTTGAATTTCTGAAAGGTTTTAAAAGAAGTGTAGTTCTATTTCTTTAAAATGCATATGGTAACCGGAGCCAGCGGTTAGTAAAAGTGCTGTGAGGTCTCCACTCATAATGAGGTTAGGATAAAGTTTAACCATCACTGACTCATTACTTCAGTCAAGTAACTACCCAGTGCTGTGTGCTGAGTTACAGGCAGGCCTGGGCATAAACACAGAAGGAGGACTGGCCTGTCCTCAGCGAGTTCTCTGTCCACCGGGGGATGCTGACAAGCGAAAGGGTCGTTACCAACAGTATCACAAATGCTGCTGTGACCCAGGGACCACAGGCTCTTGCGGCCTCACCCTGGAAGGGCACATTTCTCAGTTCGGGGTGGGGGGGCAAGGGAAGACTTCCCTTATTAACACCTTCCGGGTAAGCTGGGATAAGCTGAAAAAGAGAGTGGAGGAGGTGATGGAACTTTGTTCTAATGCAAGTCAGACGGACCATGAAAGATTTGTTAGTACGGAATCCTAGATCAGAGAATTTGCATAGTCTTAAGTTCACTCTGGCTGAACTGTGAAGAACTGATGAGGGATGTGAGTTTGGAGGAAGGCAGGCTAGCTCGGAGGCGTGGCAACAAGGTTGGGGTTGGGTTGGGGTTGGGTCCGGGCTGGGACCTTGCATGGGGCTCCGGCGGGGAGCAGGGACAGTCACAGGGAGCGGGAGGAAGGTGATCTCCGTTTGGTTTGGTTTGGCTAAGTCTGGGGCTTCTGCGTGGAGGTGTGCATTAGCGGGGAGATGTGCATTAGTACAGCCTCGCAAGCGCAGATTTCAGCATCGGGGCTCCCGCCGCGTCATCGGAGGCTGCCCTCCCTCAGCCCACTTCGCGTCAGCTCCCCTGGAAGATTCTCGCAGTTTCCCAAGGGGCACATCCTGTGAACTCCACGCGTGGCAGCTCCCGGGACAGCCCTGGGCGGCGCCCCCTCTCCACTCTCCGCCTTGAAGGCTCCTCTCTCGGGCTAACCCTAACCCTAACCCTCGGCCGACCTTCTCAGCAGCGCCGCCCTCAGGGTCTCGCACCGTCTCTGCGCGGACAGTTCTCAAGTGTGCCCGGAGCACGTGAGTGGATTTCACGCTTGTGCCCAAATATCTGAAATTATCCGCCTGGGGGGTGTCTCCCGGGTCCCCAGACTCGCCACGCACCAGCCGAGCTAATCAGGACCCTGCTGGGTCCCCCGAGGGTCCTCCTCCTGCAGAGGACTCCCCTCACCCCACCAAAGGCATCAGAGACGGGATCTCTCCTCCTTCTGGCTCCTGCTGTAGCTGACACCTCCCCAGACCACCCCCTCTTCTGCGGTCCCCTCGCTCCTGCTTGAGTCCAGGGCCCGCGCCCCTCAACAGGGGAGCAGACACCCCAACACTGCTCGCTGCCCTTGTGTGTCTCCCTCCCCACTCGCTCCTTCACGAAGCATCTCAGTGACCACCCACTCCCCCCACTTTTAAACTCCCTCTCTGGCTCCCCTGACCACAAACACCACGCAGCCCTGCTCCGCCGCCACCCCGGCCCCTCCGCCCAGGCCCGGGAGCCCCTTCTCTGCCTCTCCCTCCAGCCTCCGTGGCCCGGACCACACGGCTTAGTTATTCTCACCCACACCCGCCACGTGGTTACGCATCCTTCTTCCTAACCTCTCCTCCAGCCTGAGCAGAGCGGTCACCCTGTTTCCAGGAAAGCCTCCCTTTACGCTCTCCCGGTCCCCTCGGGTGGAGGCAGGGCTGGCCCCCTCTCCTGCGGCTCTGACCCCCTGACCTGCCATCCCCACAGCCTCCACCAGAATCACTCCTCTCACCTACCAGGGTCTAGGTCTGGACACCATGGTAGCTTCACACGCTCCAAGCAAGGCCCAGGCTTAATGAAAGAAATTACTCAGTGAATATTGATGAAACTATACTATTTAAAAAACTTCCGAGCAATAGAAATAGAATAAACCAATTTTATAACCATTTCACTTATCTTGTGGGTGATTGGAAAACTATAAACCATGATAGAAACTCTGCTCCTTCTGTAACCTGGGTCAGTTAACAATCCTGGCTCTTAAGCAAATTAAAAAAAAAAAAGCCAAGTGTTTTATTTTTAGGTTCACAGAAAAGTTACATTCTTTCCTTTGAATTGTGCCATTCAACCTCAGTCAATAGAAATAACAAACACTCCACTGACTTTTCCTATTAGCTGGCCTGAGACTCAAGGCCACTGCGAGTCTGAGTTTAGTGCAACACACATAGGACATGCTCGCACCTTCATTAAATACAGTGAGAGGTAAAGTCTACTCTGCAGACAAATCCAGAAACAGAGATGCCCTCCTGGGAGTGAGAGTTTCAGTCAAGGCCTGGAGAAACCCATAGGGTGGGTGGAGCATAGTTGGACATCAAGGAGAGATGAGTTCTTGGCCCAGTTAAAAGGAACGTGTTAAACACAGGCGTGCCACTGAGGAGCTGGGTGCTGAGACAGCTGAGCTGGAGTCCAGAAGAACAGAAAAGGCTGTTTAGAAGCGAAAGACACAGTCAGTGATTGAGGAGATGAGAAGTCAGTCTGATAAATTCGTCTTGTGCAGGAGGCCACACAATGCGAGGTATAAAAAAATATGCAGAATTTAACAAAAGAGGGCAAGAGACATACACTCAGAATTACAAAATACTGTTGTAAGAATTTAAACGGAAAGCCATCCCATGTCCCATGTCCAATTTGGCAATACTCCCAAAATTGATCTACAGATTCAGAACAGACTCTAACAAAAGCCCAGCTGTTTTTTTTAAATGAAACTAAGTTGATTCTAAAATTCATATGGAAATGCTAAGAATCCAGAATAAGCAAAACAACTTGAAAAGGAAGAACAGTTGGAGGAATCAAACTCCCTAACTTCAAAAACTACTACTGCTACTACGACAAAAAAGAAAAAAAAGGGAACCAAAGAAGTAACTGAGAGCTTCCCTTCCCTGGTGGCTCAGTGGTGAAGACCCGCCCACCAGTGCCTGGGACCCGGGTTCGATCCCTGGCTTGGAAAGATCCCACCTGCCGCAGAGCAAGACTGCCCGCCGCAGCTGCCGGGCCTGTGCGCTAGAGCCGGGAGCCACGCTGCTGAGCCTGTGAGCCTCGGTGAGAGAGCAGCCTCTGCTCACCACAAAGGAAAGCCCGCGCTGCCGTAAGGACCCAGCACAGTCAAACATACATCAGTCAGCAGACAAATCATCCAACAATAAATAAGTAAATACAACTATACAAAAAAGAAGTAACTGAAACAGTGTGGTGCTGGTTTAAGAACAGACCTGAGGATCAACAGAAGAAAACTGAATCTAGAAATAAGCCATAACACTTATGGTCAGGATCTATTATATACAACAGGATGCTTATTACACATGTTTAAAAAGGAGAAAAAGGAAAAAAAATGGTAGGAAGGATGTGAAGAAATTAGTGGTGGAAATGTAAAATATTATAGCTATTTGGTCATACCTTGGCAGTTTCTAAAAATACTAAACGCAGAATTAACACGACAGCGATTTCACTTCTATCCAAGAGAAATGAAAACATAGCCACACAAAAACGTGTGCATATCTGTTCACTGAAACATGATTTCTAATAGCCTTAATACAGGAAAAACTCCAATTTCCATCAACTAATGAACTGTGATATATGCAGCCTAATAAATACTACTCATTCATAGAAAGGGATGAAGTTCCAATCAGTGTTAGACCAGGGAACAGCCTTGGAAACGATGCTAAATTAAAAAACCACAAATCACAAAACCACCTCGTATTGTTTGATTCCAATTATGTGAAATGCAAGAGGTAGAAAAGAGGTAAATCCCTCGAAATGGCAAGCAGACTCCCGGTTACCAAGGGCTGGGGAGAAGGGGAGTGGGCCGGGGGGAGGCGCTCCTGCCGGGGAGCTAAGTCCTGCCTCAGGTTACAGTGAGAGTCACACAGCTCTGTGGCCCCACGGGGTCCGTGAGCTACACGCTCTTAATGGGGGCCTTTCAGGGCATGTGGGACAGCTCTCGATAAAGGCATCAAGAATGCGGGTTTCCATGGCAGAGCGAGCCAGGGATAACGTGGGCTCTTTCTCTAGTCGGTGGCATTTTCATTTCAGTTTCTAAACGTCGTCAGAGACCATAAATGTGCTCCTGGCATTGGCAGAGTTCCCGACTCCCACCAGGCCAGCTGCCCTTCAGACAGATCTGGGCCGATCCCAGCCGTCCTGCAGAACTGCCTGCTGGGTGACCTGGTGCAAGACCGATGGGCTCAGCGTGGGACTCAACCTCTGGGCCCAGTGGCTCTTTAAGTTTTATATTGGAGTATAGTTGATTAACGGTGTTGTTTAGTTTCAAGTGCACGGTACATTCGGTTACACATATACATGCCTGTGTTCTTTCTCAGACGCTTTTCCCCTTTAGGTCACTGTGGAGCACTGGCAGAGTTCCCTGTGCCACACAGTAGGCGCTGGCTTATTCCCTATTTCAGCGATAAGTAGAGTGTACCCCTCAGTCCCAAACAAGATGGCAGAATGAAAGGATGTGTGCTCACCCCTTCTTACGAGAATACCAAGATCACATCTGCTGAACAACCATCAACAGAAAAAGATGCTGGAAACTACCGAGAGAGATCCCCCTCAGCCACAGACAAGAACTAGCCACGGAGAGAAGTGGGAAGGTTGCAGTTGGGATGAAATCAGTGCTGCACCCTCCGGCGGGGGGGACCCACAAATGGGAGGCAGGACCGCAGAGAGGTTCTCCCATGGGGGTGAAGGAGCCGGACCCCGCGTCAGGCTCGCCAGCCAGAGGGGCCCCGACGTGTTTTGCATGAAGTTAGTGCATCTATTTCCATGACTTCATGCTGGCCGTGTGTTTGAACACTCACCCATTTTCTTTTTCACATCACCAATGATTCCACGCCCACATCAATGGTCAGCATCTCTTGTGAACGCAAGACCTCACATTAGAAATTCTGACCGCGGCCCAATGGCCATTAGATGACAATGTTTCTTTTAAGCAATAACTCAGGAGCTAATCATTTTAGAATTAATCACAGTGAAAGAACAGGCTTCCTCCCAACACAGTGTATAACATTCTAACGTTTATAGTGACACGATCACATGGGAGTGTTTTGTTGGAACTTAACGTCCAACAGTCACACTCGTGAGGGGACAGAATCTCAGAAATAATGCATCATGACCTCATCAGAAGGCTGCTTGTGGAGGCTGAGTTCACACTGGGGTCAGATGGTTTCCAGTCTTCCAGAACACAGGGCGAGCTCTCCCATGCAGGCACCTCCCTGCATGGCAAGGAGGGTGCCTCGTGGTTAGGAAAATAGCCAGTGGCATCAGGAGGTGCTGTGAGCTCCAGCTCTGTGCCCGCCACCCCGAGCAGCTCCCCCCACCAGCCCCCGGCCGGGCCTGTGGCAAAGGACTGCCGGGAGGAAGCAGCTTGTGGCCTCTCGGGCCCCACCCGCTGCCCCCCATCAGGATGTCTTAGTAGTCTGCTGCTAGGCTGTCTCGGGGCCCTTGAAGGTGAGGCTCGGGAGGACCTGTGAGCCTCCCGGGGGACCTGCCCGCACTGTGGGGATGGTGGGGGTGGTCCCTTCTAGTTCACATGACCACCCCCATCCAGGGGCAGCCGCTCCGCAGGAAACCCCCCTCCCCACCTGCCGCCACTTTTCCCAGGACACCTTCAGGGCTGGGAGGCTCCAGGTGCCAAGCCCTGCCTGGCTCTGCCTGAGCTGAGACCTGGTGATTGACAGGTCTGCCAGCCTCTTAGACTCCTGTCACGTGGCCTGGTTGGCAGAGGGGTGCTCTGTGCATGGGGGTTGGGGTGGGGTGGGCAGTGGGCAGACACCCCTGTTGTCCTCGCCCACTGGGGAGACGGACCCAGGCAGCCTGGGCAAAGGCCTCCATCGTAGCGCCTTCTGCAGATGCTGAGCCTGATGACGTCAAGCTGGGTGCCGTTCGCCCCTTACCAGCAACCGCCAGCCACCTCTCCAGCACCTAGAATCCTAAAATATCGTGGAATCAGCCCCAAGGAGGAGGAGGGCTGGGACCCTTGGCAGGAGGATGGGATGGATCAGAGAAGAGACGCTCAGCCTTGGTGCCAAGGAAGCAGCAGCTTGTGTGTGGTGGAGGTGGGTGGGGGGTGTGTGGATCAGCAAAGAAGCCGCGTGACGACCGCCCGCATGAACTCTGGTTGGGAAGGCCCAACTGGGCTGGCTCCCACCCAGGTGTTCGCGAGAGGAGGGCCACCCTTTTCTGGGTGTGACGGGCCGGGGGGCTCACTTATCCAAACAGAACTCAGCCAAGGGGGCAAGCTGTCCCTTCCAGGCTGAGCCTCAGGCACCAGAGTTCCCCGGTTCTGGTCGTCTTCGTGCTCTTCTGGGGCCAAGCAGCCTGGAGCCAACCGCCTGAGTGGAGGCTTCATGCAGCCCCCGAGGGCCCGGTCCTCACTGGCGCGCCTCTGGGCTGTGGCTCCTGCCCCAGGAGAGACTCTGGGAGACTTGGTCCCAGCTGACACCTTGCCCCCCCCCGGGAGAGCCTGAGACGGGGTCCAGCTCGGCTGAGCCTGGCTCCCTCATGTGCAGACCCAGAGGCCATTAGGGCAGCTCCCCAAAGCCTCTAAGAGCTGCCGGACTTTGTTACCTGGCATCAGATCGCAGACCCGGAGGAGAACTATGAGAGAAGGCCACTAGGGAGAGAGCCATGTACCTGCTAACCGAGCCCAGGCTGCTCCTGACCGGCTCCCAGGCACCCAGGGGAGCAGCCCCTCCCTGCCCCCCATCCAGAGCTCCAGCGAGCTGTGGTCCCCAGACCTCGGGGCCTGGCGCCCCTCATGCGGAAACCACAGCTGTACAAAACCAGGTCTGTTTGGCCTCCATGACCGCCCTGGCCACGTGCTGGCTTTGTGGTCATAGTCACCTTGCTGGACCTCTGCCTCTGAGCTTTCTGTTAGCCTCTCAGATGATCTCGTTTCTACCTGCAGGTGTAAAGAAACATCCAGCTTTCAGGACACTTATGACGAGTGAAGGAGGAATAAAGAACCTCAATGCATGGCGCAGAACTGCTGGGATGTGGTGAGCAAGAAGGAAATGTTACTTATTGTGACAGCCAAGTGGGGCCGTGTGCAGACTGAGTTTTAAGACCAGAGGAGAAAAGGCCCTTTGTGAGGGAGACTTGGTTTTTTCTTGGCAGGGCACCTTTGCCCCCACTCCCAAGGTAAAGTGATGTGTGACTGCAATTTCTCTAGAAGGCAGGAAAAAAATGCATCGGAAAACCAATACAGGAGCCCGTGGAAAAGGCAGCTGGACCCTCATAAGATTCTGTCCTCCAGAAAGTTCACCAGACAAACCAAGACAGAAAAATCACAGCAGAGAATGCTGTTGTAACAGATGCTCGGTCATGAGGTTTGCAGCGCTGTGTTCAGGACGCTCGCCTCAACGTGGGTGTGGCCTGGGTGCCTCGGGCGGCGGTCAGTCCAGCACGTCCGCCTGGCCTGGGCCTGAGAACGTCCCAGTACCGGAGCAGGGAGGAGGTGGGTGCAGCGGGAGGGGCGCAGGAGCCGCGTGTGGTCTGCACTACCTGCGGGGGGGCGCTGACGGCGGGGGCGGCCTGGCGCGGTCCCTCTAACCAGCTGCGTCCTGCTCGCTGCGAGCCCTGATCGTACCCGTGTCTTCCCGCTTCTTCCCCTCCCACCCCGTGCTGGGGTCTCCCCTGCACCCGCTGCTGCCACTTCCTCTCTGGGAGGAACTCGACATTCGTGCTGTGTCTGCAACGTCAGGGGAAGTTCAGCCTTTCAAGGTTGATGGCAGATGTGAGCTGGACAGGGCATTCACCCTGGAGGCCCCGAGGCAGGAGTCACGCTGCCTTGGGGAAGGTTCCCTCAGGGCTGGGGGACCAACTGCCTCCAGCATCCGTGACACCCCAAAGGGAAGGAGAGCCTTCCGTGTTCTTCTGGACCAGAGGTCGGGGCGGGAGGTCCTCCTGCCATAGTGACCCACACGCTGGACAACACGGGCTGGGAAACTGATTCAGACCTCCCCGCCCCCGAAACATGCCACGTCTCTGCAGCCCCGGAGCCCCGCTGATCAGCAGGTGTCCAGCTGTCCTGTTTGCATCTGGCTCCTGCCTCTCGCTCCTCAGGGGGACACTTCACCTTCTCACCCTGAGGACAGGCGTGTTGAGGACAGATGTAGAGCTTATGAATCTGCTCGGGTCCCCAGGACAACCGGCAAGACTGAACACATTACTATCCACGAGGAGCTCCCCGCTGCCAGTGGCTTTCAGCAGACAGCCAGCAGGTCCTGTCCACGTCTGCAGGCGTGGGCGACTCTGCTGCCTCCACAGACATACAGGGGGGACGCAGGAGTCCCGAAGTCTCCCTCACATTCCCTGGACACATAATAAGCATTTTATTTAAATAATCACATTTATTCTGATCAGTAAGCCCACATATCAGAGACACCTGCATAACTCCTTCTATCATGGCCTTGAGAAATGATTTCTCTTCCTTTCAGGAGACAGTTATTGTCTTTCCAATCACTCCAATATTTTGTGTGTTTTTTAAGAGTCTGAGCATGAAAGAATGTCATATGGAGGCTAAACCCCGCAGCCAGGCCCCAGTCACATCACCGAAGCAGGGTTCATGTCGATGACTCATTAGGCCATCCTGAACCCGTTAGAGTTCTGTTTGCTCCTGACTAACAGGCAACCACACCTCCCGCAGAAGAAGGCCAGGTCAAGACGTCTAGCGTGTTACAACCCCGGAGGAAGTGGAGGGCTTCCGGGGTCTGCTGGGTGGGGCCAAGATTTCTGGCCAGTGTCCTAGGAAGCCCAGGACAGCTCCCACTACAGAGAATCATCTGGCCCAGCAGCCTCCAGGGCACAACCTGGGGCGGCCGTTGGGAAAACAGAGGGCCAAGATGACGTGACAGCTGGCTTCCTGGGGCCAAGATGCCCGTTGTGAGAGAAGCAGATGTCGCAGGAAAGGCGGGTTTGCAGGCATCTTCTGCCTGCACGTCGATGCTGGGGTGAGCTTACGCGGCACCGGTCGCCTCTGCAGGGAGGGCACCAGGGGCCAGACCACCCACTGGACACCTGCTCCCCAGCAGCCCCGAGGAGCGCGGGGCAGAGACCGGCGCACGTCCTGGATCCCAGAAGCAGAGCCTCCTGGCAGGACCACGGGGGTCAGTGTGAGCCCCGCCCCCTCGCCCCGCACTGGCCTCCCCAGGCCGTGGGTGGAAGGCAGCCCCGTCTGGAAGCAAAGATCCAGGCTCTGCAGCACAGCACACCTCACCCTCCCAGAGGCCAGAAACCTCCTCCCCTCGTCCAACTCTCCCCACGACACGGTCCTCTGGCTGAGATGACCGCGCCCAACGTTTACATCACTGTTGCCACATAGCGGAGCTCCACCCGGGTCACTTTCTTAGGCTCTAACCACCTTCCAGGTCTCCCTGGTGGCTCAGAAGGCAAAGAATCTGCCTGGAATGCAGGAGACTTGGGTTCAACCTCTCGGTTGGGGAGATCCCTGAAGAAGGAAATGGCAACCCACTCCAGGGTTTTTGCTCATAAAATCCCACGGATGGAGGAACCCCGGGGGCTACAGTCCATGGGATCACAAAGAGTTGGACACAACGAAGCCACTAACACTGACTTTCAACAGGGAGTCGGGTCTGCTTCCATCAAGACAAAGCTGAACATTTTGCTTGCAGAGGATTTTCTGCTTCAATTTTGGACTCATTTGCTTCTTCTCACTTAAACAAAAAAAGTAGAGATGATTAAAAAAAAATAGGGAACCATTGGCTACAAATACACAGAAGCCTGTGGAGGGTTCATGGCAAACAGATCTCAGAATGGAATCTCCTTGGAAGAATTAGTGCAAAGAAAGACAGGCTTATAGGGACATCCAGCATTTTGTTTCTTTCTGTTATTTTTTTATTTTTTATTTTGTCTGCACCATGCAGCATGCCAAATCTTAAGTTCCCTGACCAGGGACTAAACCCGTGTACCCTGCAGTGGAAGCCCAGAGTCTTGACCACTGGGCCTCCAACAAATTCCCTCTAGCACTTTCTCCAGGCAGGTTGGCATTATGTCACTTACATCCAAAAGTAAGAGCTGGCTGTTAGTTAATGTAGTGAGAAGGTAGAAGCCACACATTTACTCATCAAAATCCACTTTGTTTCACTTGAAGTGCTGATCAAAATATCCTAACAAAGAGTGAAAACAGTATAGCCTTTGTCTGCAACTAACCTAAGATCGCGAGACAGCCTGCCAAGGTCATGGACACCTCCCTGCAAGGCAACTTGTGCAGCCCTGCAGCGGACGTGCTGAGATTTATAACCGACAGAGGCTCTCAGGAAGGCTAGGATGTTAAGTAGTGTTCAGATCACTCCATCTTGTTTCCTGCCAGAAACTCTGAGTAGGCAAGTGGTCCGTCAGCATAGACAGGAAATCAGAAGCCGAAGGAAACAGGAAAGACCTCGGATCAGTAAGAAACAGCCGTGTCCGCTGAAGGGTCGAGGCTCCAAGCCCCCTTGCTCCTGAGCTGGCCCAGGTCTCACTATCACCCGGGAGGCTGGGCTTCACGCTTTTATCTCCAGGAAGAGAGGGGTCAGCAGAAGACAGGGGACATCTCCCTGAGGCTTTGACCCGAAACTTGCAGTAGATCAGGGAATAATTCACTGAGGAGGCCAGTCCAGGAGAAATCATCCCAAACCCGGACTCTCTGAGGAGGTCGGCCTGAGCGGAGGGTGGTGGACCCTCGTCCACAGCTGACCACAGCTCAGGGAATCCCAGTGACGCTGCCGGCGGCGTCACCCACGCTGCCGGTGGCGTCATCCACGCTGCCGGTGGCGCGAAGGGCTGGAGGGGCCTCCGCTCCCTCCTCAGCCCCTGCCCCCAAACACGTGAGCATCTGAGATCTCAGATAAAAATCTCGAAGAAAAAGGAAGGACCCGGCAGCGTGGGAGGTGGAAATAAAAATTCAGGTAAATTTCAGAGAAACTACGAGAGCACACACAGAGAGGAGCCAGTGGGACTGGAGCCTGAGGCTTGGTTCTCTTCGCGCAAGCGACTGTCTCTGGGTGTCTCACCTCCCCTGGCAGCACGTCCGCCCTGGCACGCATATTTATTCTTTCTGCTCAACCAATCCCTGCTCATGACTCTCTCTGCTAAGCCCCGGCTCAAAACTCATGGCAGGGAGGCACACGTGAAGTTTCACCTTTTAGCTCCACGTTGAGCCGAAGACTAACGTAAACGGCAGCACAATTCAATCATGTTCTGCCACACTTTCGATACTAAAGACAAGAGGTTTAAGTACATGAACGTAAAGGTCCAGGCCCACCTGGAGCCCAGGTCCCCCGCCGAACAGGCGGCCTGTCTGTGGACTGGGTGGAGCAAGCACTTCTCTCTTGGGAACTGGCTTCCCCACAGCGTTGTCCACTGCCCTCCAGAGAGCTGGACACAGCGCCACTGCTCTCTTAAAGCAATTCCTGATTACGTTTGATTGACCTTTTGTATGCTATTTACATGTCTCTGGACAGGCCTTGAAAGAATGTGAGTTCTGCAACAAAGCGTTTATAAACTCACTTTTATGTGGGAGGCATTCTCTTTCCCCCATGGGCAGGGTGAGAGGCTGGTTTCCAAGTGCTCAGATGTGAAAAGCTTCGTGTCAAGGACCTAATCCTCCTCCACCATGGGCTCGGCATGAACCTCGTGTGGGTTGCTTCACCCCTCTAAGCACTATTTTTAATATTGGTAAAATGAAATCGTAACATTAAAGCAAAGTGAGTTTCCCCAAACGTTAAATCCACCCATCCATCCATCCATTTATCCATCCACTGATAGGGTTTAAAGATTAAAGGAGATAATGCACTTAAATACTTCACCCTGCATCTGTTCTATAAATTGTGCAATGGCAGCTATTACTGTATGACTTCATCTGAGAGAATCAGCAGTCACGACCTTTTCAGAAAGCAGGCTCTGTGATGAAGCGTCTCCATTCCAGGTGCCCGTGTGGGTCCCGATTCCAGACAAACCAAGCACCCTCTCCTTATCCTTGGGCACATCCTTTCCCAGATCACGTACACAAGAAGCCTTTCTGATCCCCCACCCTGTCATTCTAGCTCACTGGATCCCTGCCGGGAGACACAGCACCGCCGCGTGGACTTGTCTGAGCTATTTCTGTGCTTGCCCCGGTCTCCTAGACCTCCCCTGCAGGAGACCTGACTTGCTTGTGCACGGTCCTGGCAGAAAGCCATGTGCATATACCGTGAGCCGTGAATGCCTGAACGGCACTGTTACGAGAATTACCGTACACGGATTGGTTCAGGCCATGGATGAAACAAATCTGTATTTTCTTTTTAAGTTAAAATTTTATAGCCAAGTTGTTAACATGGTTTAAAACCAGACGGCAGCCGGGATCTACTGTGAAACATCTTTCCTTCCTCATCTCTCAGCGTCTGCCGGATTCTTAGCCCCCCCAACGCCTGTAAACCTTGTCCTTGGATTCTGAGGGAGCCGCAGACATTCTCTGCATGTCTGCACACAAAAGCCTCCCATCCTCTCCCATTTATCACAGAGACAGTGGTCTGTCTGCTCTGCACGGCTCTGTTTGGCTCTTCACTTGACAATACATCTTGGAATACATATAGTCTAATTAATTGAAAGCTCAAGCACCGGGTCCTGCGTAGGTTAAGCCAATTGTCCAGGTCAAACGGAGCCCAGATTTTCATCTCAGTAGGAGCCCTGTCCTTATCTGCATCTAACTGCGTCCACCCAGAGCATCTACGATAGCTCTCCTGTTGAATACACGCCGGCAAGGAAGTCCTGCACATAATAAATGCAACAGTGCAAAAATATATTATTTTAATATCATATAATGTCATAAAGTACAAAATATCTTGAAATCCCTGTAAAGATGGATGTTCTGTGCATGGAAACCTGATCCCAGCCTCCGTGTATTTAGTGCTAATTGAGAATTCCTTCACAGCAGAGCCTACTGTTGCTATGGACACCATCCCCAAGAGGAGGTTTAGAAAATTCCTCTGCACGTTCACAAGTCTGCGTATTCCCCTTTAATTCGCAAAGAAATCTCTGCATGGGGTGGCTTACATGTGAGGATTTCGATGTTTGGGGTGAAAAAAAGCTCACCCGCCACGGCAACAAAGCAGCCATGAGACAAATATATTTACAATGTCCTCCACAAGGACCCACGTTAAAAAACTAATCACCCCTCGACAGCCACAATGAGCTTAGCCCTGTCTGTGCCGGCGCCCTGCAGGGCTTCATCTTGCTGTCCTCAAAGTCAGGCAGCAGGTCCCAAGACACAGTGAGGCAGCGGCTCGTCACCCCCAGGTGGCCGGCCTCCTGCTCCCCAAATAAGGAGGTTAGCCCCGAGCTCTGAGGCCATGGCAGGGCCCAAGGGGACGGCCTCTGAGTGATGGCTTGGCCAGTGGCCAGTGAGACGACAAGGGCATCGCCCAATGCTCTGAGAGCTGCCACGTTGGGTGAACTGAACCAATTACGATGAGCAGCCTGAGTCCTGATGACTGCAGCTCCCGTGTGTGTGCGCACAAGCGTGTCCCCTGCATCTGGTCAAGCAGTGAGCCAGCCCAGGCCCACCTGTCCCTCCCCCTGGCTGTCCCCTCCTGCCCCCTCTCTCCCCTCCTGCTCCTGTGGGCACCCGCCCTGCAGACACTGGGCCCCCTCCTCCTGGAGGGACAAAAGCCAGTCTCGCACTGGTTTCGGGTTCAGTAGAAGGGCAGCAGAGGGGTGGCTCCCGGGGTGGACGTGAAGGTGGCGCAGACCAGCGCTGTACATACAGAACCGGCCTCCTGGCTCCTCGGGAAGGGCGGACGCTGACACGTTGCCATCACCTCTGGCCAATCCTTTTCAATTACATGTGAGACTCCTTTTAAGAGAGGTTAGGCTTTCCCATCTGGTGGCTCCTGTGAGTCACTGAGGGACTTTTAACGCACTCTGAACATGAGAACAAATGGCTCTGTGCAGGTTGTGCTGGAACTACCTCACATCCTCCATGCAGGTGCCGCGGGGCAGGTAGCAAGCTCAATGCGGATGAAATCCGGAGAGAAAAAAAGGTGTCAACCGAGAACGACAGCAACAGGAGCTGCAGTGGAGCAACACGCTCCCAGGAGGCAAGATCCTCCAGGAAGACTCACAGCTCTCCGAAGGCGGGAGGAAATCCGCCCCGAGTGATGTCACGGTACTGGACCCAGACACCATACTGGGGTGGAATCAGAAGGCTACAATTTCAAATAAGAATTAAGCAGTCCTCTCTGGGGCGGGAGGGAGCTGAAATCACAGGCATCTTCCTGAGTGAGCGGCCCCTGCACATACTTTACGTGGATGGGGTGGATGGGGCACCCCAGGGGCTGGTCCAGGAGTGGCTGTTCCTCGTCTACAGCGGCACTGGCCTGGAGCCGGCTGCCCGGGGCCTGAGCGGCCATCACGGACACCGAAGGTCTTTGTGCTCAGTTACTCATGTGATACCTGCTGCTTCCTATGGCTTGTCCAGTTTTGGGGTTGTCTTCCGCCAGTCACGGTGGTAAAGACTTTGAGTGTAATGTGGGGAGCACCTTCCCTGGCTCCTTCCGCTGGGTACCCAGACAGGGCCATCTTGGATGGAGACTTTGGGGGTCTTCAGGCCTCAGTGCTAAAGAATCCGCCTGCAGTGCGGGAGACCTGGGTTCGATCCCTGGGTTTGGAAGATCCCCTGGAGAAGGGAACAGCCACCCATTCCAGTGTTCTGGCCTGGAGAACTCCATGGACTGTGTAGTCCATGTGGTTAAGAGTCAGACACAACTGAGCGACCCTCACTTTCATTCTCAGGCCAGGGTGGGAGGCAGCGAAGGTGTTTGCTGCCATTCCTGAGAGTCCATAAGGCTCCTTATTCCCATCCAAACTTCTCAATCCATAGCCATTGTCACCTTTCTTAAAGGAGAAGACTTACCTATCCAGAGTGGGCTCACAGGGCAATCAGCACAATAATACAATTCTTCAGTGGGGGAAGCCAAAAACAATACATTAGGTCATAGTGGTAACCCTTTTAATCCTTGGCAAATTACCTACTTATTTTCTCATATTCTGTAATGGTATCTCCTGTATTTGTTGATGATTGCATGCTACACCTAAGACAAGAATGGCTCAGTTAATCTTCAGAAAATGTGACTTAATGGTGTCGTTTTGCAGAAGCTCCTGTGTGATGCCAGTGAAGGAAGGAAATGTGTGACTGTGGCCATGGCGGGTCTGAAGCTTTGAGCTCAGTGGTCCATTCGGGACCCACTCGTGGGAGATGGCAGACCAGGGCTGCGGAGGGGCTGGGAGGAGGGCTTAGTTTCCACATCAGGAGGGGCCGCTGCAGCGGGCAGCATGAGAAGAGAGGCCTAAATACACGCCCAGCCTGCTCCTGGAGGATGGTCTCTGTCCCTCCCACTTCTGTTTTCCTCCATTTTGGAGGGAGAGTAAAACTTTGTTAATACACCCCCTTTTTTTTCCTCTTCATTTCTGCTGGGCATGTGAGCAATTGCCTCCTTTCCTGTGTTCACTATGTTTTTCATTTTTGGATTTTTTCCCCTCTGACAGCATGCTATTTTTTTCTTAAGCAAGACTGTATCAGTGGGGACAGAGCTAATGGGGACTAGATGACACATCCCTCGGAGCCCATTCACATCTTCTAACAGGAAGCTGCGATACACACTCAAGGATTCCTCACGAATCACTGTTGCACTTCTGCGTATTTGCAGAATGAGTAGATGTTTGGGAGGTAAATTGTTTAGAGACTCTTGCCAGAGTCGAGGCTCCCAAAAGATCACCTTAGGAAACAACATGGAACAAAGATGGAATTTTCTGTATGCCTTCTGTGGTTCATTTTGAGGAAAACAAGCAAACAATGAATTCCAATAAAAAGATGAGGCTAACTATGCACGATGCATTCTTATACCAAGGACATAGGAATCATTAAGATAACTCGGGATGCACATTACTTTAAAGCAATTGCTGGTTGAAGCCAAAGTTAAACGCATTCCGATTGCATCGGCTCTGTGAATTGTGTTGTGTTTGGTGTGCTCAGAGGAACCCGCGTCCCCCGTGAGGTTCCACGCGGCCGCCTTGCTGGGGGAGCCGCTCTAGACTCCCGCAGTGCTGGTCTGAAGCCCTGAGCAAGCACTCTGTGCACCTGCTCCCTTGGGAAAACTCACTTTTTCTTTTTTAGAGGAACTTGCCAGAGAGAGTCAGATGAGAGTCTATGGTAACTGGTTGCCTTTATTCCCATTACACTGGCTGGTACATTCAGTATAGCGTCTGTATGTGACTCTGGTTAAAATAAAATTCATGCCCAGGAGTGAAAGTTCCACAACTTAGACATCTACACCCAGGTGCTCAGTATACACCCTCCCAACTTCCAGAAATATACGTATATATAAACAGTGTCAGATATTTCCCTGATGCTTCGAATTCAATATGCCCCAAAGATGGGTCTACTACGTGCCCCTAAACCTGCCCCACATCCTGCAGCCTGTGGTTTCCCTGGGTTGGAGGGCCTTTCACTGCCCAGAGTCCATCCGTGGCGGCTGTGAGCCTGGCCGTGGGGTCAGACGGAGCAGGTGTGGGTTGGGTCAGCATGGTCTCTGCTGCTTAGCTGGCCTCAGGGTGCATGAGGAGCCTCGTCTGTGGAGCAGAGACCACGATGCCTGCGCCACACAGCCGTGCTGAGAACCGTCGTCCACTGAACGACCTTTAGGGGGCGCCGCCAGGGTCTGGCACATGGGCCAGCGCTGGTGAAGCAGGAAGCACATGGACAAAACCTGAAGGAAAGGAGCACGTCAAGGCTGCACACGGTCACCCCGCTTACTTCACTTGCATGCAGAGTACATCGTGAGAAACGCTGGGCTGGATGAAGCACAAGCTGGAATCGAGATTGCCTGGAGAAATATCAATAACCTCAGAAATGCAGATGACACCACCCTATGGCAGAAAGTGAAGAGGAACTAAAGAGCCTCTTGATGAAAGTGAAAGAGGAGAGTGAAAAAGCTGGGTTAAAGCTCAACATTCAGAAAACGAAGATCATGGCATCTGGCCCCATCACTTCATGGCAAATAGATGGGGAAACAGTGAAAACGGTGACAAACTTTATTTTCTTGGGCTCCAAAATCACTGCAGGTGGTGACTGCAGCCATGAAATTAAAAGACGCTTGCTCCTTGTAAGAAAAGTGATGACCAACCTAGACAGCATATTAAAAAGCAGAAACATTACTTTGCCAACAAAGATCTGTCTAGTCAAAGCTATGGTTTTTCTAGTGGTCATGTATGGATGTGGGAGTTGGACTATAAAGAAAGCTGAGTGCCAAAGAATTGGTGTTTTTGAATTGAAACAAAGTCAGCAGCTTTTATTGCTGTTGTTATTTACTCACTAAGTCATGTCTGAGTCTTTGCAACTCTATGGACTATAGACCTCCAGGCTCCTCTATCCATGGGATTTTGTAGGTGAGAATACTGGAGTGGGTTGCCATTTCCTTCTCCAGGAGATCTTCCCGACCCAGGAATTGAATTCGAGTCTCCTGCACTGCAGGCAGATTCTTTCATCGCTGAGCCACCAGAGAAGCCCATTTTTTTCTTATTATTTCTCACTTATTTGTTTTTTTGGTCTCACCACACAACATGTGGGATCTTAGTGCCCTGACCTTAGAACCCTTGCCCCCTGTAGTGGAAGCACAGAGTCTTAACCACAGGACCGCCGGGGAAGGGCCACTTTTCACTTATTTCTATCATCCTTATTTCTGAAGCTCCAATACTTTGGCCACTTGATGTGAAGAACTGACTCATTGGAAAAGACCCTGATGCTGGGAAAGACTGAAGGCAGGAGAAAGGGACGACAGAGGAGGAGATGGTTGGATGGCATCAATGGACATGAGTTTGAGCAAGCTCTGGGAGCTGGTGATGGACAGGGATGCCTGGCGTGCTGCAGTCCATGAGGTCACAAAGAGTCGGACATGACTGAGCACCTGAACTGAACTGAAATGTGTAAACCATCTGATTTTATAATGCTTGCAGCAATTGTTTTTTTCCTTCTGGATGTTGAATACCTATTCTGTTATCTAGACCCATGGAGTGCTCTCGCTATACCTGCTATGCTCTGGGAGGTAGCATACAATGCATCATAGATGGCCGTGGTTCAGACTTGCTTATTAAATGCATGCTTCTCCAGACGCGGCCTGTGTGGCCCCTGCCCCTCCTCCCATCTGTCCTTGGCTCGCTGAGGTGGTTCCCTGTCTACACCGCAGTGGTCATAATATGGGCAAGGGCAGGTCACCTCAGTCACGTGCCAAATGCTGCAAGGCTGTGGGTTCCGCCTCACTGATGTCCACACTGTCCCTCAGAGATAATTACAGTAATCACGGGTAAGCGTGGAAAAGCTCTGATTGCAGAGTCCTCATTATGAAGACGGAGTCCTCATGAGCTGTGAGCTAAGCTTTTAGGCTTGGGCTGCCAGCACGGTTATGGGGTGTTTACCATGGAGGGGTCCAGGGAAGGACGCCCCAGAATCGTCCATACGCCGAGCAGCAGACATTTGCCAGAAGGGACATTCTGTCAGTTGGACACCCCAGGAGGGGGCATAGCCCTGAGGACTGCCCTTGACCGAGGACTGGCCCCTCGGGGGCCAGCTCCACACCTTGGGCAGCTGGAAGTGGGGAGGCGATGCTGACCGGGCTCCGGGGCAGCACCAGAACCCAGAAGCACTGGGTCAGCTCCTTCGGGGCCCAGTTGGAACCACTGAGAGCCTTTAAAGGCCGAGGCCCCCACGATGGGCGTTTCAGCTCTGCCACCAGTTTGGAGCTCCTGACCCTGGTGGAGCGCGGCCTCCCGAACGCCTGCGCCTGAATAGGACACACAGGGTGTCCGTCCAGCCCCGACACGGCCACTCCCGGGCCTCGCTCCCAGAGCGGGCGGGGTGCGGGTGAGGTGAAGGAGGGGCAAGGCCGACAAGACGCCTCCCTGAGGCCTTGGGAGCCTTGTCTGTGTGTGACTTTGGAGAGTGGGTGGAAAAGCAAATGAGATTCACCAGCACGGGCGTGGAAAGGCCTTTCTCGCACAGAGGAATGTGGCCTGGCACGCGTGTGCACGGGCGTCGTCCTGGGTCACGGGCACCCAGCACGGATCGCCAGGTGGCGGGGGGCATCACCTCGGGGGGCTGCAGCCCCAGCGGAGATGGGCTGGGCCACGGGCGAAGGTTCGCGCTCAGGCATGCTGTGTGTAAGCGTAGGAAAGGCCGAGGGAGAAGGGGAGGCCCCGCCTGGGCCGCCGACGCCGCACACGCCCCCCCCGGCCCTCCTGCTGACTGCTGCCATGCTGGGCGACCCCTCCCCGGCCGCAGCGACTCACCTGCTCGGTCATCACTCAGGTGACCCCAATCCCAGGAGAGGCCTGTCCCAGACGCTCTCTGGGGCGTGTGACTCAGGGAGCGGCCCCTTTGCCAGCTTCTCGAGAAGTGAGAGTGTCACCGCCCGAGGGAGCCTGACGGACCCCATGGGGGGGACGGCCGGGGGCCAGAGGGAGCCTGACGGACCCCAGGGGGGGGACGGCCGGGGGCCAGAGGGAGCCTGACGGACCCCAGGGGGGGGACGGCCGGGGGCCAGCGGGAGCCTGACGGACCCCAGGGGGTGGGAGACGGCCGGGGGCCAGAGGGAGCCTGACGGACCCCAGGGGGTGGGAGACGGCCGGGGGCCAGAGGGAGCCTGACGGACCCCAGGGGGGAGACGGCCGGGGGCCAGAGGGAGCCTGACGGACCCCATGGGGGGGACGGCCGGGGGCCAGAGGGAGCCTGACGGACCCCAGGGGGGTGGGAGATGGTCGGGGGCCAGAGGGAGCCTGACGGACCCCAGGGGGGAGACGGCCGGGGGCCAGAGGGAGCCTGACGGACCCCAGGGGGGGGACGGCCGGGGGCCAGAGGGAGCCTGACGGACCCCAGGGGGTGGGAGATGGCCGGGGGCCAGAGGGAGCCTGACGGACCCCAGGGGGGGACGGCCGGGGGCCAGAGGGAGCCTGACGGACCCCAGGGGGGAGACGGCCGGGGGCCAGAGGGAGCCTGAGGGACCCCAGGGGGGGACGGCCGGGGGCCAGAGGGAGCCTGACGGACCCCAGGGGGGGACGGCCGGGGGCCAGAGGGAGCCTGACGGACCCCAGGGGGGGACGGCCGGGGGCCAGAGGGAGCCTGACAGATCCTGGGGGGAGACGGCCGGGGGCCAGAGGGAGCCTGACAGACCTCAGGGGGGAGACGGCCGGGGGCCAGAGGGAGCCTGACAGACCCCATGGGGGGGACGGCCGGGGGCCAGAGGGAGCCTGACGGACCCCAGGGGGTGGGAGATGGCCGGGGGCCAGAGGGAGCCTGACGGACCCCAGGGGGGGACGGCCGGGGGCCAGAGGGAGCCTGACGGACCCCAGGGGGGAGACGGCCGGGGGCCAGAGGGAGCCTGACGGACCCCAGGGGGGGACGGCCGGGGGCCAGAGGGAGCCTGAGGGACCCCAGGGGGGGACGGCCGGGGGCCAGAGGGAGCCTGACGGACCCCAGGGGGTGGGAGATGGCCGGGGGCCAGAGGGAGCCTGACGGACCCCAGGGGGGGACGGCCGGGGGCCAGAGGGAGCCTGACGGACCCCAGGGGGGGACGGCCGGGGGCCAGAGGGAGCCTGAGGGACCCCAGGGGGGGACGGCCGGGGGCCAGAGGGAGCCTGACGGACCCCAGGGGGGGACGGCCGGGGGCCAGAGGGAGCCTGACGGACCCCAGGGGGGGACGGCCGGGGGCCAGAGGGAGCCTGACAGATCCTGGGGGGAGACGGCCGGGGGCCAGAGGGAGCCTGACAGACCCCAGGGGGGAGACGGCCGGGGGCCAGAGGGAGCCTGACAGACCCCATGGGGGGGACGGCCGGGGGCCAGAGGGAGCCTGACGGACCCCAGGGGGGAGACGGCCGGGGGCCAGAGGGAGCCTGACGGACCCCAGGGGGGAGACGGCCGGGGGCCAGAGGGAGCCTGACGGACCCCAGGGGGGGGACGGCCGGGGGCCAGAGGGAGCCTGACGGACCCCAGGGGGTGGGAGATGGCCGGGGGCCAGAGGGAGCCTGACGGACCCCAGGGGGGGACGGCCGGGGGCCAGAGGGAGCCTGACGGACCCCAGGGGGGGACGGCCGGGGGCCAGAGGGAGCCTGACAGATCCTGGGGGGAGACGGCCGGGGGCCAGAGGGAGCCTGACAGACCTCAGGGGGGAGACGGCCGGGGGCCAGAGGGAGCCTGACAGACCCCATGGGGGGGACGGCCGGGGGCCAGAGGGAGCCTGACGGACCCCAGGGGGTGGGAGATGGCCGGGGGCCAGAGGGAGCCTGACGGACCCCAGGGGGGGACGGCCGGGGGCCAGAGGGAGCCTGACGGACCCCAGGGGGGAGACGGCCGGGGGCCAGAGGGAGCCTGACGGACCCCAGGGGGGGACGGCCGGGGGCCAGAGGGAGCCTGAGGGACCCCAGGGGGGGACGGCCGGGGGCCAGAGGGAGCCTGACGGACCCCAGGGGGTGGGAGATGGCCGGGGGCCAGAGGGAGCCTGACGGACCCCAGGGGGGGACGGCCGGGGGCCAGAGGGAGCCTGACGGACCCCAGGGGGGGACGGCCGGGGGCCAGAGGGAGCCTGAGGGACCCCAGGGGGGGACGGCCGGGGGCCAGAGGGAGCCTGACGGACCCCAGGGGGGGACGGCCGGGGGCCAGAGGGAGCCTGACGGACCCCAGGGGGGGACGGCCGGGGGCCAGAGGGAGCCTGACAGATCCTGGGGGGAGACGGCCGGGGGCCAGAGGGAGCCTGACAGACCCCAGGGGGGAGACGGCCGGGGGCCAGAGGGAGCCTGACAGACCCCATGGGGGGGACGGCCGGGGGCCAGAGGGAGCCTGACGGACCCCAGGGGGGAGACGGCCGGGGGCCAGAGGGAGCCTGACGGACCCCAGGGGGGAGACGGCCGGGGGCCAGAGGGAGCCTGACAGACCCCATGGGGGGGACGGCCGGGGGCCAGAGGGAGCCTGACGGACCCCAGGGGGTGGGAGATGGCCGGGGGCCAGAGGGAGCCTGACGGACCCCATGGGGGGGACGGCCGGGGGCCAGAGGGAGCCTGAGGGACCCCAGGGGGGGGACGGCCGGGGGCCAGAGGGAGCCTGACGGACCCCAGGGGGTGGGAGATGGCCGGGGGCCAGAGGGAGCCTGACGGACCCCATGGGGGGGACGGCCGGGGGCCAGAGGGAGCCTGAGGGACCCCAGGGGGGGGACGGCCGGGGGCCAGCGGGAGCCTGACGGACCCCAGGGGGTGGGAGATGGTCGTGGGCCAGAGGGAGCCTGACGGACCCCATGGGGGGGACGGCCGGGGGCCAGAGGGAGCCTGAGGGACCCCAGGGGGGGGACGGCCGGGGGCCAGCGGGAGCCTGACGGACCCCAGGGGGTGGGAGATGGTCGTGGGCCAGAGGGAGCCTGACGGACCCCATGGGGGGGACGGCCGGGGGCCAGAGGGAGCCTGAGGGACCCCAGGGGGGGGACGGCCGGGGGCCAGCGGGAGCCTGACGGACCCCAGGGGGTGGGAGACGGCCGGGGGCCAGAGGGAGCCTGACGGACCCCAGGGGGTGGGAGACGGCCGGGGGCCAGAGGGAGCCTGACGGACCCCAGGGGGGGGACGGCCGGGGGCCAGCGGGAGCCTGACGGACCCCATGGGTGGGAGACGGCCGGGGGCCAGAGGGAGCCTGACGGACCCCAGGGGGAGACGGCCGGGGGCCAGAGGGAGCCTGACGGACCCCAGGGGGTGGGAGATGGCCGGGGGCCAGAGGGAGCCTGACAGACCCCAGGGGGGGACGGCCGGGGGCCAGAGGGAGCCTGACAGATCCGGGGGGGAGACGGCCGGGGGCCAGAGGGAGCCTGACGGACCCCAGGGGGTGGGAGATGGTCGGGGGCCAGAGGGAGCCTGACGGACCCCAGGGGGTGGGAGATGGTCGGGGGCCAGAGGGAGCCTGACGGACCCCAGGGGGTGGGAGATGGTCGTGGGCCAGAGGGAGCCTGACAGACCCCAGGGGGTGGGAGACGGCCGGGGGCTGGGCAGCAGGGACCTAAGCAGGGCATCAGACGTGACTGTGCAGATCTCCGGGAACCTGCTGGCACCTCCACGGGCCTCTGGGCAGGATGCCGTCTGGGGAGGGTCTCACTCCACAGACTCCTCGGAAACAGCCTGACCTGGGCCCTGGTGAGTTCCCGAGGCTGCTTGGACTAAGTCTTGTCGTCTGCACGATGTGCCGAGGGGGCTGAGGGGGTGACCATGGATGGACAGTGTGTGGCAGGGACACACTCCCTGCCCGTCACACGACGGTCACCATGGTGACCGCGGTGGTGACGCCGTCTTCCGCGGGGACTGAGGCCACCAGACTCTGTCCTGACTCCTCCTCCCGAGCCTGCAGCCGAGTGACAGACGAGACGAGACGGACCCTGGAGAGCAGCCGCTGCTCCACTTCTGGGGCAGGACGGGCGAGTGACCGCCACACCCTCCTGTGAGATTAGGAGACGGAGCGGCATCCTAACTCCCCGAGGAGGCAGCCCTGCCCCAGGAGGCCCACCGTGCGTCCTGGGGAAGGCGAGCTGACCGCTTGCTCGAGCCTCCTGACGGCAGTCAGACGGAGGCGAGGGGGAGGGAGGTGGGTGCCCCAGCCTGCAGCCTCGTGAGAGCTGGTTAGACTCAGCCACGTCACGCGGGAAACCTGCCTGACGATCTAGGTGAGGTGGCCTTGCAGACCTTGCTTCATTTACCCTCACACAGGTTGTGCAACCATCCAGCCGAGAACCGTCACCTTGGCGGCGGCAGGGCCCTCTCCACGT